CCAGTAGTTTGTGTCTCTGCCCCTCCCACAATGGGGAGATTTCCCCCAGTAGTTGGTGTCTCTGCCCCTCCCACAATGGGGAGATTTCCCCCAGTAGTTTGTGTCTCTGCCCCTCCCACAATGGGAGATTTCCCCCAGTAGTTTGTGTCTCTGCCCCTCCCACAACGGTGAGATTTCCCCCCCAGTGGTAATATCATAGCGGTAACCGTAACACAATGGGGGGCGGGGCATTGAGTTCCTTTGCCATGCTGTTATCCAACACCATCCCCAATTTTCCATGATTTAGAATTATAAGAATAACTTGGATCCCAATCCAGTAGAGAGTCAGCTGACCATTCTAATAAATGTATTTGATTGATTTCAGTATCCCTGATTGGCACTTGGTGGACATAGAAGTGACGGGGACAAGAAACAAAGAAACCGGCCAAGTATTCAGCGTTACAACAAAGAGGTGCAACCCAGCAAAAGCGGGCCACGTGACTGGCAGCGCCACCTTCTCGTCCTTCTGGAGCAGCCTCTTGGGTAAACACTTGTCTGCGTAATAAACCCATGTGTTAGGAAGAGAATACCTAAGACCTAAATAAATATTAAGGCCAGGATTACATCTCTGTGTTGTGGTCCCTATGTGTGCTTCACATGCATGCATTCATTTGGAAGTGAACCCCAACGCACCTGCATTGCAATGTGCAAGAATGCCCTACCATGCATTGCATTAGAAAAAAACGGGTCAGGTGCAGTTTTGGTTGGGGCGCATCGGCAACCTGTTCAAAATGAATGGGCTGACTTAACATAATGGACATTAACACACAGAATAATACACGTTAACATGTATGTATTAAAGCACCGCACAGGTTTTTAAGCAATTCGCAGGGCCCTTCGCATAATGCATAACGTCAAAAACAAATGTTCTTCATACAGGGTAGTGATGTAATAACACATTATGGCCACTAGTTCAAATGCAGGCCGTTGTTGTAATAATACAGTATGGCCACTAGATGGAGCTGAGGAGTGTAGGAAATGAATATGTATTTCCTATGATCTGTAGTGCCATCTAGTGGCCATAATGTATCAATTCTCTGCCTCAAAGGCCGAGTTTATGCAGCCCCACTGTGAGTGCAGGCGGTGTTCCAAGATTAGTATGGCAGCTCAGGGATTGGGGGAACATCAGCTTGCATATGATCTGAGGACTCTCCCACAACTGTTTTGATTATTTAATAAAAAGTGAAACATAACCAGCTATCTCTCTCTCTTCCGCAGTATGTACAGGTCATGGAGGTCGAGTCTATCTGTGTTAGGGAGAAAGAATGTTTTGAATCATTTTGCTGGAAGAGGGAACCTGTTACCCAAGAACCCCAACAAGACTGATGGTGGCACTGTTACAAAGGAGGATGATGGGAGAGTAATGTGTTACAGAGGAGGATAATGGGAAAGTATTTAAATAAATGCATCAGAATCCGCACATGGCCAACCTTCTCTTCCCAGTGTAGATAAGGTCATGTGTGTACTGCATGTGCCACCTATCATTAGCTGCCTCTTATATTTCAGCTGCAATACTTAAAGTGACACATTCCTCATACGCAGCAGTCAGCAGCTCTACGGAATCACTATATTCTCCATTGTTGGATATCAGGGGTTGCATTTTTACACACAGCTATCCTGCACAGCTCTGTCACTGTCCCAAACCATGACATGGGTTTGGGACTGGGTCGCCACTATGGTCACCACTATGGAGTATTACTGGGTTGGTGTCAGCTCCCATGGGCTTTTCAACCTGGGTTAGTCCTTGTGAAGGTCAACTCCACATATAACTGATGCTTGCTGTCAAGCTGAATGAAATGCTCGTTTTCTGTTTCTCTTGAAGACTCCACTGGGTATACCTTCTCACCAAAACTCATAATGCTAACCCAACTGCCATCACCATAGCAATACCAAATGATGGTGGTACCCTTCCTCAACCAACTATCTATAACGTAGAAACATATAATTGATGGGTCCAGCTCTACTTCTTCCCGTCTAATATAGGCCTCTAGAACCTCCGTGCTCGGAAGGGGCTCCTGTCAACCCTTGTTGTCAAAGATGTTGCAAAAACCGGCACACGAACAGGGATTCACATCATCATCATCCTATCATGGCATAAAAGCAGCAACAAATATGCAGACATGTTTCAGCCCCATTATGACTAAGGCCCGTTGTTGGGGCTGAAACACATTAGCATGATTGCTGGCTTCCTGTTTCGCTTGAAGACTCCACTGGTGATAACTTCTCTCCAAAAGTTCTAAAACGAACCCAACTGGCCTCACTAGCCCAACTGTGCTTTCGTCCTAATACTAACCCAACTGGCCTTACTAACCCAGCTGTGCTTTAGTCCTAATACTAACCCAACTGGCCTAACTAACCCAGCTGTGCTTTTATCCTAATGCTAACCCAACTGCCATCACCATAGTAAAACCCAATAGTGGTGGTACCACTTCCCAACCAACTATCTATAATGTAGAAACATATAATTGATGGGTCCAGCTCTACCTCTTCCTGTCCAATATAGGCCTTTGGAACCTCCGTGCTCGGAAGGGGCTCCTGTCAACCCTTTTTGTCAAAGATGTTGCAAAAACCGGCACACGAACATGGATCCACATCATCATCCTATCATGGCATAAAAGCACCAACAAATATGTTGACATGTTTCAACCCCATCATGACTAAGGCCCGTTGTTGGGGCTGAAATACATCAGCATGATTGCTGGCTTCCTGTTTCTCTTGGAGACTCCGCTGGTGATACCTTCTCTCCAAATGTCCTAATACTAACCCAACTGGCCTTACTAACCCAACTGTGGTTTAGTCCTAATGCTAACCCAACTGCCATCACCATAGTAAAACCCAATGGTGGTGGTACCATTTCCCAACCAACTATCTATAACGTAGAAACAAATAATTGATGAGTCCAGCTATGACATGACACTTTTATTTCAGAAATTGACTCTGACAGAGAAAATATTCAGCAATACGTAGTGCACCAATAAATTAAGGCCTTATAGGGTCCCTTGGGGAACTTGCAACCCAATGAGGACCAAGCCTTTATTTACTGGTCGAGGGCTCAGAAAAAGGTCGATAGGGAAACATCACCAAACCCATTTCATTGGCTGGCTATCTAATTTCCATTTGGCATACCATTAAGTAAAGTCTTTTTTACGCCACTAACTGGTTCACCGGGTGAGCCCAGGCTCCACTCAAGAGAAGGACTTTTTGGTTTAAGAATAAGGCCATCCATTGGGATTTGCATAACAGAGGATGTAGGGAATTATAGAACCCTAGGAGATGCCAATAGTACAGAAGTAAAATACTGTCTTTGTACGTCCTGGTTAATAAATATAATACTTGTATTCCGACCTGTAAGTGGCAGCACCATAATGAAAGGCTCTGAAAGACCAGAGGATTGCTTCACCCAGCAAATCATCCTTCTTCCAATCTGCCAGATCCTCAATAAATCAGTTTACTACAGATCATTCTGATCCTCTATGACTCTTGGTTTGGGTAAATGAATATGCTGATTAATGACTTAACCTATCGGTGGGACACTTAGTCATTGCAGGAACATATGGTAAAATTAATACAAATTTCTCAAGAAAGGTATAGTTGCAAGAAATGAATTGTTGAATATGCATTGATGGTAAAGATTTTTGCTACTATTGGTATTATTTGTTATTAAATGATACATATACATACATATACTGTATATACAGTTAGTGTCAGCAATTATACATGAACACACATATATGTATATGTATATATATATGTGTGTTCATGTATAATTGCTGACACTAACTGTATCTGTTTTAATAGATTATGAAATTTAGGAATAATCATATCAATAAAGAAAAATGTTACAGAAAATGACACAATGATGTAGAGGCAATTCTTCAATAAAGCCACCAGATGTCTCTGTGAGGTGCAGTTCTTGATAGTGGCCAACAGATGTCACTGTTTGGAGCCACTATTGATGTAGTTTTCTATAATAACCACCAGATGTCACTATTTACTTGTAGACAGGAACAATGAGAAAGTGTTACAGAAAAATAATAAGGCCTATGGAGTTTCAGATTTTAACCCCTTCATGACTGAGGCCTTTTTTTCATTTTTTTGTACCCATGTTATATTCCAAATTTTAGGCCTGAAAATTACTTAAAACCCCCCAACATTATATATTTTCTGAATGCCAAGACCCTATAGAATAAAATGGTGGTAGTTGCAAATTTTTATGTTGCGCAATATTAGCGCAACTCCTTTTTAAACCCCAATATTTAGTGACAAAATTAATTAAATGCCCCAAAACACAACAAATAACCCATTTTTTTAATGAAATATAAAAGATGAGGTTACAACGAGTAAAACGATACCCAACATGCCCAGTTTACAGATTGCGTGCGACCGTGAAACGGCGAAAAACTGCAGTACCCCAAAAAGTCCAAAAAAGACACTTTAAAAGCCCCCACAGGTCATCAATTTAGAGATACCCCAAAATACTGGCCCTAGAATTATTGCTCTCACTCCGGCGTGCGCAGCGATACCCAACATGTGTAGCGCGTTCGTCGTTTTCATACGTAGGCGCACCCGACGCGTGTTTACGTGGCGACGCGCGTGCTCGCGGGGGCGGGGGACTTT